CACAAAAATGTCATGATAAACATGCCATCAGGATGGAAGAATGTTTTGTCATCACAAAAGTAAACCATGTTTCCTGTCTTCAGCTAGCATTGTTATCCAACTTTGCAGATTAAGAGGAGGCCCAATGGACTCTCAAAGCCTACCCTTGAAAGCCAGGGCTCTGGTCCCACCATCAGCTGGATGCCAGGGTGCTGCAGGCTAAGACCTCCAAACAAAGCAGCATGTGCCCAGGAAAACTGGCCCACTGAGCCACAGAGCCTAGGACCTGAAGGAGCCAACATAAACAGCAGCAAAACAGCATTAAGGCTACTCCCCCTGCCAGCTCCATCCCCAATAATTTATGGAAAAGTTCCTACTTCCACAACCCCCACCCCTAGTCCCTTCGGAAAATGCTTTCATCTGATTGCCTCAGTACCGAACCTCTTCCACAAAAACATCAGTCACTATCAGGTTTCAGGAGGTAAAATTGCTGCGTCATGATCATGTTGGTTGGATGAAGACTGAATTGAGACCAGAGAACCATCTCAGTGGCATGGACTCGATTCACTTTCCAAGTCTCCTAAGGGGAATTTCATGTCATTCTGTTTACCCTCTTTGGACCCAGCTAGATTGCTGCACTGTAAAAACTGGGGCAGGCTGCTGCTCTAATGCGGATACTTTTGACACTGTATATAGTCCCTGTGAGCGATAGGTCCTACAGACTAATCATCAGGTAAAATTATATGTACACATGTGGTAGGATCTCATAAAGTGTACACAGGAAAGACTGAGTCCTTTAATCTTTGAGTTTTAGAAAAATAATGATCTATTATCTAGGGTCCTTTGAAGGGTGATAGAAACACAAAATCTATTTGTGCTTTTAAAAACACCTTTGCCCCTGCCCCTACAACCTGGCTTGTGAAGTGAGAAGTTGAGTTAGGACTGTGACAAGTGAATTCAGGAAGCCATCCACTTGTACTCAGCTCTCTTGGGCAGCAATAATTAGAAGAACTCGCTAGGAAGAAAAGAAGTCATTGCTCCTGTCTATTTATCTAACCTGCTTCCACAGAAAAAGTTACAGTAAACAGTTGCTCTTCCATAAATGCCTTCCCTATTACAGTCCTGGCCCATCCCAAATTCTAGTGGAAAACGCCCACCATACAAATTGTTGGTTAACGACTAGACAACCTTTATTATAGTTGTTTCAGAAGGAGTTGAAGATAATTTTGTATAGTGTATTACTAGATTTTTATCTGGAAGAAGTTCACTACTTTTAGAAACTGCAATAGTGAAAGGAAATTTCCTTATCCAGAACTGTTATTTAAAGGCTGAAGTTCATTTGCTGACCCTTAGAAAGAACAGATACTGGATTCAATCATTTATTCAACCAAGAAATATTTCATGAGGACCCACCATGTGCCGGCACCTCACTAGATGCGGAGGATAGAAGGATGAGCAAGGTGGAAATGGTCCCTCCCCAGGAACTAAGATCCAGCAGACTGAATAACTGAATCTCCCAGAGGCTCTTCTTCTACTGCCCCGAGAATCATTTACAACTAGATCTTCCTTCCAGATGATGACGAAAATTAAGGCTCTATTTAACCTGATTTGGAACTAGTTGAGGTTTACATAATCAGAAAAATTAAAAAGATACTGTCATACATGAACATCCTTATATTAAAATCTTTAAAAGCTTAGGTTAGAACAGACATATTTCTTGCCTTTGGTATGACGCTCATGAAGCTGAAGAAGTGATTTTAACGACTCAACACTCTCGAACTCCTGAGTGTTCTGGAGGAAATCTTCCGCTTGGTCTATTTTAATGGCAAACTGCAACAGACATACAGGGGAAAGACATTTGAAAAAATAAAAACCAATGTGCCACTTTCAGTTATTTGTAAATGTTTTGCATGAATGAATGGCTCAGCCGACTACGTAGGTTTGTGTGTTTGTATGATGATGTGTGTGTGTGATGTGTGCTGGCTCACGTGTTTGTATGAGGGTGTGTTTGCATGTAGTTAGTCTACAAAGTGCCAAGATAAGAACTTTCTTCCTGTTCCTTTGCATTCTCTTCATATCCAGAAATATGTTATGTACGCTGAAATAAACCAATTTGTCTACTGTTCTAATGTCTATTGAAATTTTCAATGAAAATTATGTTTCAATTATTTGTATGTAACAAATACAGCCACTGTCAACATTCTAAAGCAGTTTGTCAAAGAATAACCAAAGTCTGCTAAAAAAAAAAAAAACAACAAAAGTTTGGCTAAACAGTATCTACATAATTATTAGTAAATTTAACTTAAAAACCCATTTAGGTTGAAATATAGTTGTTTTTTCCTATATTATTAGACCTAGAACTGAAAAACATAAGTTTCAAAATAATACATAGTCTAATCCCATTTCTACACTTGATTTTAACCAAAGGGCCAAGAAGCGATGCCTAATCCCGCTTCTTATACAAAGCAAATATATGTGTGTGTGTGTGTGTGTGTGTGTATGTGTGTATTAGTATAGAAAGTGATCCAAAGATACATAGCAAAGGGTTACCTTTATGAGAAGGAATGGGATTAAGGATAGGTGAGGGGTGGTAAACTGTTAGCTTTTAAATCTATAACTTGTAACTTTGTTAACTTTGTTTGCATTTTTAATCAATGATTTTATGTACTTTTATATAAATATAAATGAAATCAGATCCAGCAAGAAGGAAAAAACGGAAAGTTTCTCCTCTGTTTCAAAAACAAAAGGAACAGCAATTTTACACCCTAAATGGTGAGGAACATGACAAGTCTCTCTTTTTTGTGTTTCTCCATTGACTAGGACGTATGAACAGGAGATGTTTTAAGTGATGACAAAATTCTCAGGGGAATAATCTTAGAAGCAAATTTTAGAAAAGGGCAAAATATTTGGTTATGCTAGTACAGTATATCCATAGCAGTAGACAAATAACTAGGGTTCAAAGGTAATTATTATCATTTATAAAAGCATTTTAATCAACATGTTCACCTTTGGATAAGGAATAGAATAAATTTATAAAATACTAGTGAGAAAGACAAAAAAGCCTGTCACCATGCTTGTCTTCTTTTCAAGTTTTATCCACACCCTCATCTTTGGATTCAGTAATATTTAATATTTTATGTGACTGTTTGATTAACAAGATCTACTGTGTTTTGATTATTACAATAGCCATATAAAATCCAGTTTTAAAGGCATGGGATCATGAGAGGGAAACTGATGAGCACATCTTCTTTTGAAAGGCAGAGAAGGTGTCCACCATCCTGTTAGAACAACCAGATGGACACAAGCCACCGTCGCTTGGGGACAGTGTCCCTAAAAAGCGCAGTGTTTGAGAAGAGAATACCCTATCTGATGGTGAAGACCGTGAGCCTGAAGCCATCTTGTACTACCAACCATGCAGTAAGAAGCCATTCTGTATTTCTAAAGAACTCCTGCATGCACGTGGTTGAAAAGGGGATCCAATCTACACATTTACATCTCTAATTAATTCCATTTCTAACAGCTGATTTTAAGAACATTCTTTGAAGAGAAACTTCAAAGAGAAAAAAACCAAAACAAAACCCCGGTAGGTGATTTGTTTTTCCCTGTAGAACATTACAAGAAGTTTTGAAGTCACTGTGCAACTTATATCTGTATTTCAACTTGTTTGACATTAAAAAAAAAACAAACCAACCAACAAACAATACTTCACTCAGAAAAAGCTTCCCTAGGGTTCTATTAACTTTTATCTTGTGGATATTTTCCATTCCCCAATCTTCTTCTTTGGACAGTTTGTACAGGATAGAAGTGGCAACAGAGGGACACTTTTCAAAGACCCTATCCTTAATATCACCTCCATCATTTTTTAAATCACTTATGAAGATTGCTTTGGCATATACTAGGGAAAGGGAAGATCATGCAGGAGTTTGTCTTCAGCTAAGTATGAAGTGGTCCACAAAGTTGGAAGCAGGATAATATAAGAAACAATTCACTTTTTCACTAGGAATCAGACTGCTGGGTTGAACTACAAGTTGACTTACATTTCCTTTTACTTCATGCAGTATCTGGAAGTCATTTCTGATCACATGGAAAATAACCTAGCATTAATGTTCCTACACAGTGAAAAACAAATATTGGGCTTAATGTTTGAAAAAAGATAACTTCCTGTGCTCAAATGAGCTGAATTTCAAGGGTAGTTGACACCCACACCCCATCTACTAAGATGAAAGGAATTAGATGCATCTATAACTCGATGCCTGTAGGTGTATTTCTTCTCACCTGGTTTATTTCTTCTCAGGAAAGAAAATTGTGTGTGGAACTTTTTCCCAAAATGATGTGTAAATGAATTGTGAGCTGGATTTCAGTGCTCAAACTGAAAAACCAACCCTGAAAGTTACAATAAGGTTTTTGCTCCTCCTTTTAACTTTTAAATGAGTTTATGATGCATGAGATTGTCTACCCCAATTTTAATGTTCTATTACTAATCTTCTTTCCTTCATTATTTTGGATTTCAGTCCTGAATTTTCAGTTTGGAAATGTCGTATTTTTCAAAGCAAGTGCTTTATCATGATGAAGCAGCGCGCCCACACCAAAGGCATGGACTGCCACTTGACAGAGAAAAAAGTGAGATTTCCCATAACTATCTTACACTAAATATAACACCTCTTTTGATAATGTTCTTTGAGTCTCACATTTTGAAATTGGGTTCCTCAAAAAAAATTGCAGAATTCAAGAAAAATCATAGGGGGAAATGACCGCCTTAGGCCCAGGATTTTGTCTTTCCCTTATATTTTAATGAGCTCAAACTATGAAAATTCGTCTATAGGCCTTAGGAAAGCACTCTGTAAAGTGCTACGCTTATAAGGTAAACATTCTATCGAATATTCTGCAATTGCTTTTCATAAGCAGCAGATTAAATTGTGCCCTCCAACTTCCAGTTAACAAGAACACATTAGACCAGAATTTCCTAGTAATCCTATAACCAGGGGTAATTATATCACTATTTTCTAGAGGGGGAAATATATCATAATGACTTATGAGTAAGAATTCCCATTTTTATTTACTATTTATCAATTTTAATGAACTGTACTTAGTTTTTGTTTGAAGGCCTACATTTAAAATATTAACAATTTTATTTTTTGACAATCAAAAATTGAATGTATATATCTTGGTTATTCTGACATTTTTGAACTGATTGCAACGTCTATTTGTGGAAATAAAACATTTTTAGGAGTGCTATCCATTTGCTCTAAAGTGGAGAAGGGAGAAGTTTTTTAAAACACAAACCTCCAAGGCATTTTCAAAAAATTCAGAGGTCAACCTGAGAAGCTCCCTTCTTCTCTCAAGCATGGAGACCAGGGCTGCCCATGCTTCGCCCAGCGTTTCGGCCATGGCATCATAGACCTGACTCTGATCCTTGTTCTCTTCAGCCACCTTGTCTGCTTCCTGCAAGAGTTCCCACACTCGGTCTTCCAGAGCCTACGTCCAGGAAAGAAAAGGCACAAGGCAGAGTGTCACTCAATGTAAGAACTTGGGATCATATCTTAAACCCATGGAGTTTTGAAATTATATGTGGTCTAGGAAAATCTAGAAAAGAATTCATAAACATAAACTGCTATGCAGGCAGGTAGATCAAGCAAGCGGGAGGAGCAATGGAGACTAGTAAACTGGGGAGCATGGTGAGGCTAAAGGCACCCACATTTAAACATTGTTCAAACACCGTAGAGATTTATCAGAAATGCACAACTACATTCCCAGGGGTACAGAATACCGTTATGACTTCACACTTCAGAAAAAGAAAACTGGAATACAACTAGAAAGGAGTAATCATGAAAAAAAAAATGAGACATAAACTCAGTAAAACTTATTTATTCTAAATAATTGTTATTGTTAATATGCTTGTGAAGCTTAATGTAAATGTTAAGAGTAAATTCTTGAAAATCAACAGTCATGATGTAAAAATCTATCATTTTTGTTGACTGAACAAATTATGGAAGATGAAGGGGATCATGTTCTTACAATATTAACTCACATGGGGACAGGAGGAGGAGCCCATAGATTCTGTTTCATTCTTGATATTGGCACCAAAATAAAGGCACAATATTTAATATAACAGATTGAAAATAACATGAATAAATTATAAAATGTCAGCAGAAGAGGAAACTAAACATGTGCAAAATACAACAAAGAAGACAAAAGTAAAAAGAACATATTTATTAGGACGCATACAAAAAACCCAATACATACAGATAGGAATATGATTAAACATCAGTTAACATCAAAAAAATGGATGAGTTGGGAGGGTATTGCTCAAGTGGTACAGTGCTTGTCTAGCATGAATGAGTCCTGGGTTCAATCCCCAGCTCCTCCTCTGAAAATAATTAATTAAACCTCCCCCTGCTTTAAAAAAAAACAAACTTTTATTGTAAAATTATTATAAACCGATAAAAAATGTTTAAAAAAATGGATGAGTTAACTTTTTAAATTAAAAAACGAACATTATCAGATTAAGGGAAAAAATTAAACTAATTTATGTTTGTTAGAGTCACCCCTCAAATCAAAAGACGTAACATTTGAAAATAGAGAGGAGATATATCAGGCAAGACAAACAAAAATAAAGGAGAACTAGCAATATAAATCTCAGACAAATTAGAAATCAAAGCAAAAATCATTGAAGATTAAAAAAATTACTTTATATTGATAAACAGCACAATCCACAGGGAAAATAAGGCAGTCATGACATTTATATTTATGACACTGAAGTATTTAAAGTAGATATACCTAGTCAGATCACAATGCAATAAAAGTAGGAATAAACAACAAAAGGCCAGATGATAAAACAAATAGAAATTCTAAGAAAACAGTTTAAAAAATTATTCCTAGATTAAATGAAGAATTAAAAACTATAATTAAAGACCATTTAGGAAAAAATAGTGATAAAATAAAACAAAAATTAAAGGAGGATTAATCGATTAAATGCAAAATCAGAAATTAATAAATTAGAGAAAAATTTAAGAACTGAGTTTTTAAAAAAATTATTGAAAAGCCAAATGAAATATAAAAACATCTGACAGGTGGGATCAAGATGAAAGCAGAGGAAGGCCCTGAGCTCATGCCCTTGCACAGACAAACCAAAACTACGACTACTTAAAAAACAATTCTTTCTGAGAAAGATCTGAAGATGAATGGAACAGCTCTTCTACAATTAAGAATATTAAAAAAAAAAAGAAGAAGCCCACATCAAGATGGGGGAGGATGCGGAGAGATAGTCAGCACCTATTCCCCACCCCCCTCATGCAGCAACCTACAAGTAGGAAGGGATATCACACTCAGCCAAAAAAAGGATGAAATGTTGCCATTTGCAACAACATGGATGGACTTTGAGGG